AAAATAAAAGAAGACTCCATCTTCCACTCACATCCATGCTTTATTGTGGATTATTTGTACGATAGTTATGTAAAGGCAACATTCAAACAGAAGGGCTGAGATATCATAATTATATAAAGGAATGCATGATAATAAGCAAACATCAGATTATTACATGCACATCACCCATTCCACAACACACTTTCACACAATCAATACAACAACCACCCAAACATAATAACAATGTAACCAATATGCAATGCAATGAGACTCACAATTTGAATCAACGCATGTGGTACCAATACGTGAACTCTCAGATTCACTTCTCTGATCCCCACCTAGGATCAAATCTCACCAATTTGTTATCATCACCATCGGTAATGCTTCATTGATTCCATCACCTCCGAAATTAGGTACTTGCACCTAATCCCCAACTAGGACTAAGGCTTACCAAAAACGGACCACCGTCAAACACCATGAATGTATGCAACATACAACATGCAACAACAACACCATACACAATGACCGTCACCACCATAGTCAATGTACTTCGCCAATACTGACCATCATGCACCAAACACACGCTATAACAGTTCAGCAGCATCAACATACAATATAGCAAGCTACAGCAATGCATTTAAGATTATGTCATGCCACAACATAAACACTATAATGCATTTAAGACCATCACACAACAATTATTCATTTTCAGGTACAAAAACCAATTTTAGAATAAAATTCATCGTATCAGCTTCCTAACGCTTTGAACGGCACCCAAATCAAACACCCGAAACTGAAGTTATAAATTTGAGAAGTTTTTCAAAATTACTCCCAGTGTAACCCGTTACATTAATCAAGGCAACCGATTACACCCCTTGTAACCAGTCACGCTACACAAAACATACTTAGTGCAACCGGCTATCCAAATCCTGGTAACCGATTACACCCTCACAAAAAGCCCAGAAATACATTTTTAAAGTAGTGTAACCAGTTACACCATCTCTGGTAACCGATTATACTATGCGCATAAGCACTTTTTTGCAAATTTTCCAAACGAAAATCACTTTTAATCCATTCCAAAATCCAATTTTTCTTACACTCGCTAAACACATTATTTTATCCAAAATTGAGTTTTTAAAAACACCAAAACTCCAATTCTTTTCATAAAAACATTCATAACTTAAGTTCCGACTCTGACTCACAACAATCATCATCTACCACCATACAAGTCCCACAAATGCATAATTCCAACAACAACAATACACCATTCACCAATCAATAATTAATCATAACATCATTATACAATTCGTAGTTCATCAATCAATTATCTAATCCAATCCAACATACAATTCCAACAATAATCATAACATAAAGAGAAGAGAAACACAAACCAATCATAGACATAATCAACCAACCATCATCATCATCATACAAACCTTTAGATAATCAGAACTCCACCCTTACCTTAGAGCTCTTGTAAGTTCCTCAAAAATAGTGATCTTCTCTTTCCTTTTTAGCACTAGTCTCTTCTTTTCACTTTTCTCTGGTTTTTCACGTTCTGACAACTTCCTCCCAATTCCCTCTCTCTTATTCTATTTTATTATATTATTATTGTTATTACTAATTTCCACTTATTAAAATAATAATAATAATTATTATTATCACCAATTATTTAATTAAATTAATATTCACTTATATTAAATAATTAACTAAATACTAACTATTATAATTTAATTAGTCTTACTCACACCACCACCAAATTCTACACTTTTTTTCGCACACCCCCAACACATTAATTCTACTATTTAAGGCCACTACCTCGCGCCAAGAGTACCTCCAACACATCAAAAATATCAATCACACATACAATACACAACATCACATAATTCAATTACGGAAAATAAATAGAATAATCCACGACATTACATTTAGTGTCGGTATTGTGAGTATATTCATGGAGTGATCAAAGATGTCTCACTTGACAGCAGTCAAGAGGATTCTAAGATACGTCAAAGGATCTATTGACTACGAAATTTTTTTCCCCACTATGGACACAGGCAAAAAAAATACAATTTGCTCGGTTTTACTGATTCCAATTGGTGCGGAGATAAAGTAGATTAAAAATCTACATTTGGATACATCTTTATGTTCGAAGAAGGAACCATTAGTAACATTCTCTTCTTGTGAGTTCGAGTACATTTTCTCTTTGTTGTGTGTGTCCCAAACCAAGTGGTTGATGAATATGTTGAAGAAGCTGGACAACGATGAAGGTGACATTGTAACGTTCATGGTTGATAATGTTTTTGTTGTAAATCTTGCTAAGAACCCAATTGCACATTAGAGGAGCAAACACATTGAGGTTAAGTATCACTACTTGAGAGAACTTATTAGTGAAAGAAGGTTGAGATTGAAATATTGTAAATTGAAGATCAAATGACCGACTTGTTGACCAAAGGAGTAACAATTGAAATGTTCAAGACATTGAAGAACAATATGGGCATGGAAGACTTAAAACACTTGAATTAAGGCGGCGTGTTGTGAAAACATCAATAATTCAAGTGTTGTAACTGATTACTGCGTTCTTGTAACTGGTTATAGGGTATAGTATTTTTAGCTGTTAAAACACATGTATTTGGTTATTGCATTTTGGAAATCGATTACGATTCAGTTAAAATTGTTTTTAGAAACAACTGTAACCGGTCACAAGTTTGACATAATCAGTTACAGACACATAGTTCTAAATTTTCAGTTTTGATTACTTGTATCTCAATCTATTATAATTGTGTATATATCTTGAAAATATCATTATACAATTTTAAGTTAAATGTTTAATAAATGTGCATTCTTACACTCAATTACTCTCTTTCTCCATAATATATTTGCAAAAGCTCTTGTCCAAGATAGAGCCATAGAAAATTTGTTGCGATAGAAAATGTCAGATAATATGTTCCATGCAAGTTTGACGATTGAATTATGGTCAACGATGGTGTTGAGGAGATTGTTTGAGATGGTGTTGTAAATTCATTGTAAAACAAAAACATCGAGATGTAACCAAAGGTTGAGATTGGTTACTTAGATAAAGGGAGTTGATGTCGTGTCATTTGATGATGGATGAATGATATGGTGAAGGCCTTTATAAAGTCTTGTATGAATTTTGAAGAGTTTCCACCACATATTATATTAATTATTTTTGGTAATCAACATTACTTTGACTTTGACGAAGTTGGTATATTAATGACAATGAGAGCATAATGAATAGAATAGGAGTTGCTGGGATAGAGGGAGTGAAATGGGAGTTGAAGTAGTGCTTCAACTAGAGAGTCATCAATGGCCATGGGGATTGACATAGAAAAGGGAGGAAGCACTTTTTAGAGTTATAAGTCACCGATGGCCACTTAATGATACTATGCAAGAAGTATTAACAGTGTTATTGATTAATTTATCATTCAAATATATACAACAATAATATTCTAATAATTTTTAATAATTCTCAATAATCATTAGTAATCGTTATGAGTTATTATTTTTAATAATTTTTAAAGGAAACATCTCTTTAATTCCGTATCTTAATCTCAGAATCCATTTTAATTTTTTAATTTTAAAAATATCCATATTAATCTATTAACTTTTCAAAACGTTCTATATTAGTTTTTTTGTTCTATTAGTGATGGAAAAATTCAAAAATCAGTTGATAAATTTGTCATTAATTAGACAAAAATGATTAATATAGAACGTTTTAAAAAGTTAAAAGATCAATAAAAACTTTTTAAAAGTTGATAAATCAGAATAAACTTCGAGATTAAGATTCGGGATAATAAAAATAACACTAATACATGTTAAATGAAACTAATATGAACAAAAAAAAGATTAAGATAAGATAAGAGACCTTTTTAAATATTTTTATTGTTAAATAGATAACGCTAATATATGTTTTAAGATCCCAAGAGATAAATACATGTAAAAAAAATTTTTATAGAAAATTTTATATTTATTTTATAAAAATTTATAATTAATTGTTTTATTATTATTATTATTATTATTATTTTATTATTATTATTATTATTATTTTACGTTTCTTAAAATGTAAATGCGTTCTTAGGAAATCGGTTACCATTACTCAATATAAAAATATATGCATTGATAATTCATTAAGAGCATTTCTGTTTTTAATAGTTGAATTTTTTATAGTTAATAATGATTATAAAGAATTTGCATTGGAATAGATATAATATGACATTTAATTCACTAACTTTTAGTTTCTAACAATTATATAGCTAATTTTAAAACATATAATATTATTATTTATATTATTAAAGTTTTTAATAAAAAAATAATTACAATTAAAAAATATAAAATATATTATCAAATTTTAGTTTTTTATAAACAACTATCATTAAAGTAAAAATAATTCAAATCAACTATAAATTTTTTAAATCTTAAAAATCATTTTAGACCCAAAAAAAATCTTAATTTATCTAAAAAAAATCTTAAGGGTGGAATATTCATTTATGTATTTGATTGGTTAACATTGGTCATTGAGATTTCGTGTCTATGCACAAGTGTGATGTGGATTTAAAGATAAATGTCTTTTGTACATCTTATCCTAAACTTTATACTCTCATGAATGAAATGTATCTCACCATAATTTAAAATAATTGTGCAGATTGGAGAAATGAATGATTTTTTTGTTAGAATATCATATAAATTTCCTTACACTGAAGGTGCATTCTATTAAACTCTTAAAATATTACTAGAATTTTAATATAAAAAGTAACAAAATAAATGTGGAGCCCATGAAATTATTCCTACCTTCACTTTTTTTGGTTACAGTTATTCTTACCTTTTTAAAATGAAGAGAAATTGATTCCGTAATCATCCCATACTGTTATTCATTAATAATTATCCTCACACACGTATCAAATGTTACGTTTACGCGCTTATGCGAGTGCTTTTCTCACTCTCCCCATACTACAAATCCCAAATTCCAAAACCCTTCTCCACTCAATCTCCCGCCATCAACAATGGAGCTCCCAGTCATCGATCTATCCTCCTACCTCTCCGTCTCCAGCGAACGCGATCCGCGAATCCAATCTCTCTGCGCCGATGTCAGCCGCAACCTGAGCGAAACCGGAGCACTTCTCGTCAAGGATCCGCGATGCACCGTCGAAGACAACGATCGCTTCATTGACATGATGGAGAAGTACTTCTCATCTCCGCATGAGTTCAAGATCCTTCAAGAGAGACCGCACCTGCATTACCAGGTTTGTTAACCGATTCACTTATTTCCTAGTTGAAATTGAAATTAGAGTATGCTTTGAGACGAATCTTTGAAATTATTTTGATTTGATGAAAATGAACGATGGATTGTTTTGTTGGTGTAGGTTGGGGTTACGCCGGAAAAAGTGGAAGTTCCGAGGAGTTTGGTGGATGAGGAAATGCAGAAGAAAGTGAAGGAAATGCCACAAGAACATCAACCTCATACTCCGGTTGGTGCTGATCTAAAGTGGCGATACTTTTGGAGAATCGGTCCTCGTCCTTCTCTTACACGATTTCAGGTCTTTTTTCTTTAAAGCTAATTAAAATTCACTGTTTTCCGTCACCTTTGTAATTATTTTTCAAAATTTTGGTATTATGGCATGGAGAAATAAGTGTTTTTGTACTTGAAGTAAATTTTTTTTTGTACTTGTTGAAGAAGAAAAAAAATGGTTTGTACTTGAAGTAATTTTTTTTTGCACTTGTTGAAGAAGAAAAAAAATGGTTTGTACTTGAAGTAATTTTTTTTTTGTACTTGTTGAAGAAGAAAAAAAATGGTTTGTACTTGAAATAATTGTCATATTTCTATAAATTTTTAAGTTGAAGTTAATTTGTGTTTGTCTTTAGTGAAGTAAAAAAAATTTAGTAAGACAAACTGGTAAATTACTAGAAACTCGCTCACAACCGTGAGTATCAGGGGTGTAAATCCTGGTGATAAAGTTCAACCTGGCAATATCGGCTTAGGACTTGTGGGCGAAATAAAATTACTTTAAAAAGTTCATAAAAATAGCTTTTCATGTTCTGCTTATTATTTAAGGGTGGAACTAACAGATACAATCTCCTAAATAGTAATCAAAAGATGAACGAATATAGTTTTTTCATATATATTCTGAAACTAATGGAATGCATACAAGAGAGGTACATGATACAAAATATTGGTTTGCGATGTGAGCTTTCATGTCCAGAAAAATAAAGATGAGATATTCGAACTGTAGGAATTTTAAGTTCCTGAAAATGTTTTCAATTTTAATTTTCTAAAATATGTGTTCATTGCTAATAAAAAACAATTTTTTAACATATTTATTGTTTTCAAAAACATACACACATTTGTTCAAAATAGAGCTTATTTGCTAGCAGTCCTTGTATATGCTGATAGTATTTTTGTTTTGTTCCAATACTTCAGGTTAATTGTTTTGTTCTAATACTTTGGTTAATTGTTTTGCTCTAATACTTTGGTTAATTGTTTTGTGTAGGAACTCAATGCAGAGCCAGTAATTCCTGAAGGTTTTCCAGAATGGAAAGAAACTATGGATTCCTGGGGATACAAAATGATAGCAGCAATTGAAGTCTGTCATTTAATTGATTGTTTTTTTTATAATGTTATTTGTAATGTGTGTTATCTGATTGTGCATGTTTGTCACACGTAGGTTGTATCTGAAATGGCTGCTATTGGGTTTGGTCTTCCAAAGGATGCATTCACGTCTCTCATGAAGCTGGTGAGTGAGCACAACAATTGCTTTATGGTGACTTAAAATTAGTTGATTAAAGAACCTATGTCTTCTGTTGAATGATCACTTTGAGATATATTTTGTCAACAGAGTAGCCATCAAATGAGATATGTTGCATACCCTATAGTTAAATTTTAAGTTTATATGTATGCATGTCCAGAGGGAACAACTTTACTTTAATGAGCTTCTTTTTGCCAATTTTCTATTAGGTGTTAATATTGGCTACTTGTCATATCCGCTGCATTTTGCAACTGTAAAAATGAATGACGGGTTGATCATATTCTTGCACTGTTTCACTTCCCTTGATGTTTTTACCTATTTTCTAATGATTGTATGTTGCATTATTGTTGATTTTCTGTGTCAGGGCCCGCATCTGTTAGCTCCAACAGGGAGTGACCTTGAAAAGTATAATCAAGAAGGGACCATTTTTGCAGGATATCACTATGACCTTAACTTCTTAACAATTCATGGTCGAAGTAGGTTTCCTGGATTGAATATCTGGCTAAAAAATGGACAAAAAGTTGCAGTTAAGGTTCCAGTAGGATGTCTTCTTATTCAGACTGGAAAGCAGGTAATTAGAAATAATCTTTATTTGAAAATATTGTGACCGAAACATTTTGTGTGATTTTTTTTGTTTGATTTCTCTGTTTTAAAATGCAGATAGAGTGGTTGACTGGAGGGGAATGCATAGCTGGCATGCACGAAGTAGTTGCCACAAAAAGGACCATTGATGCAATCAATGCAGCTAAAGAGGAAAAACGTAGCTTATGGAGAGTTTCTTCAACTGTGAGTGGCTACAAAAAGCTTTTTGCCTCTTGTATTGGGAAAATGTATCTCATTAAAATTGACCTTTTAGTTCTATCAGCTGTTATATTTACTAGTAACTTTTGTCTGTTCATGTAGTTGTTTGCGCACATAGCATCGGATGCAGTTCTGAAGCCATTGGGACATTTTGCTGAATCACCACTAGCAAGCAAATATCCGCCTCTATGTGCAGGAGAATATGTTGAGCAAGAGCTTGCTGTCATCAATCTCAAAGGAAAGAATTGATGAGATTTTTCAGGTTGAAAATTGTAATAAAATGTTCATCCGTTCTTATTTCACTGGACCACACAGCCTTTCTAGCTATAGCAGTAAAAACTATTGGGGCAAGAAACTAAAAATTGTGGTTTCATGTTTGTTCCAAGAAAAATGAATCAATTTGAACTTCTAACTGATCTACATTTTATGTCAATACACATCAAATTTCTGCATGTTACAGCAATCTAATTTCGGGACACATTTCAATTTTTGGCTTAGTTGTATTTTGTCTCTTTAATTATATTCCAGTGATTTTGAATTTTCCCAGGTTTTAAATGTTGTTAAATTCTCCTATTTCTGAAAATTAAATCCCGTCTAGTAAGGATTACTGAATAAATAAAATCACTATTAAGATTTTAAAAAAAATCATTATAGAAAGACTTTTACAACTTTTTTCTTGCTGTTTGAGTGTAATTTTTGTAGAAGCTTGCTGGAACACTCCTATAATAGGTTGCCCCATGTACATCTTAAGTAAGAACCTTCAGTTATTGAAATCTAAATTGAGGGATTGGAATCATGAATTTTTGAAAATGTGAACACCAATGTCAAGAATACTGAAGACAATTTAGTTAAGTGGCATAAGTGATTCCCTACTTGCTCAAGAAAAATCTGCAGAGTGCTCTAGCCTTGGCTTTAGGCACATATGAATGTTTTTGACTTGAGAAAACAAAGGTCATAAGACATCTTGAGAGAGATAGAAGCTGCATTTTATCACAGGCTTACCAAAATAAAAAATGCCAATATCAAGCATGGAGACTCTACTTTCACTGAACCTGGACATACTGCTGAGCATGCTGTCACATTTTGAAAATGTTTTTTGTTCTAAGTATATTATTTGACAGGACATGTCCATTATAGATGATGTTATTCCTAATGGTGTAGGTGATAACATGAATGTTATCCTTACCATGCTGCCCTTAGAACCTGAAATAAACAATGCAGTCTCTGGACTCAATAAAGACAGTCTTTGGAGAAACTTTCTTCCACATATATTCGAAAATCATTAATAAGCATGTATGCAATGATGTCTTGCAATTCTGCGCTTCTGATTGGATCCTTAAACCAATAACGCAGATACACTAGAGCAGTTGAGACCTATAACTCTTACAAATTTCAAATTCAAGATCATCTCTAAATTTCTTGCGCATAGATTGACTCTACTCATGCATTTTCTCATTTCTAAGCATATAGAGGTTTCATGACTTAACTTTTGGAATTTCCTGCAAACTATCCCTCTTCCCTGCTCATAGAAATCGTGTTGTTCAATCTATCCTTCCTTCAGGCCTAAGGCATAACCAGCTCAATTGGAAATCAACCACTACAAGTGATCTTTCTCTCAAGGATGCTTATATATTTAAAAATCATTCCTCCCCAAACATTATTTGGTCCAAATATGTTTGGTCTAAACATACCCTCCTTCAAAATCTCTTCTACTTTGGAGGATCATGTTGAATAAAGTCCCCACTGATGACATTGTTGTTTTACAGTTTTGAAAATTAACCACGCGCCGCCTCCAGAATAAAACAATCCAATTCTATACTGTACAATTACTACTTGCATGGTAGATAATCAATTTAGAAATACACCCTTTAATAGTACAAAGATCATTCAAATATGGTCCAAATACCACTCGTAGTATCTGATATAATGACCAGTCGTAATAATCTCTCAAGCCAAGAGAAATTCCAATAATTTTTCAAAGAGAATTTAATAATGGTCATTTGACCATTCAAAATAATTTCTCAAATAAAGAGAAATTCGAATAATTCTCTAAAGAGAATTCAAAAATTATATTTGATAATTTCTCAACTCAAATGAGGAGAAATTAACATAATTTTCTAAAGAGAATTCAAGAAAATACTCGGAAAATTCAACGAGTAGAAAGAAAGGGGAAGAAGTTGGTGCTTCAACAATTTGAAAGACGCGGAATTATAAGAGTGAGGATGGAAAAACTCAATAAGTTTTTTGGTGTGTTTTAGAATAAAATTTAAAATTTTCTTATATAATAAATTGAGGGAGGAAATATATCTCACCTAAGCAATGTGGGACTAAGGAGTTTTTTCAACTAACACATAATGTGAGACTTGACTTAAAGAACTTTTTCAAATTCATCTCCCTATATTTGAATATTGACATAATATTCTAACAATCTCCCACTTGAATTTTAAAAAGTGTTTCATAAGCAACGTCAAACGTTTATAAGATTTGTGTATAAACAAAGGTGTATATGACTTGAACCTTTGCGTACCAAGTAGGATTTCAATTCAACAAGAGTGACACAATTGTCTTGAACTCTATCTCAGACATCAAACCCGCACACAACCTTTTTTTTAAAGATGTATTCTAATAACCCGTGCTTTAATGACTTTGCACGTGTATCCCGGTTTAGTGAAGACTCTAGAAATAATGCCTTAACATTTCACATGAACTGACTTAAGTTCCACAATCACATAGGTCAGTCTATCAAGAGTACTCATGTAGCCTTGATACTCCTTCATACAGAGTATATATATCTCATTACGAGTTTGTATTATCTCATCCTTTTATCACTTCAGGATTCATGTTTGTCTTATTTACTCTAGCATGATTACCTCATATTACTAATAACTTGTTATTACTCATTGAACCTATTTTTTGGGATCTCCAGTCATCTAGGTCGGATTAACACCATTAGCAACTCATTTCTTTATAGACATTAGTCCCATCTTCTTGGATGTATTATGGACTTTCTCTCTAGCTAATCCTTTCATCGAAGGATCTGCTAAGTTTTTCATCATTGTGTACATGATTCACTCTGAGATACAGTCTCTAATAGTGTTGTGCTTCCTCCTTATTTGACGTTACTTACTGTTATGTTAACGGTTCACAATTTTTGCAATAGTCGTGGTACTATCACAGTGGATCAACACAAGGGGCATGGGTTTTTCCACAAAGGGATCTCTCTAGCAAACATCTTAACCAACTTGCTTCTTCACTAGCTTTGGCTAGTGCTATCTTCTCAGACTCCATTATGGACTGAGCCAGGATAATCTGTTTCTTTGATTTCCAAGATACAACACCCCCAGCTACACTAAATATATAGCCACTAGTAGCTTTGGAATCATTCGATAAGATGTTTCAATCTGCATCGCTGTACCCTTTTAATACAGTAGGAAATTTCTAATAATGTAAGCCGAGATACATGGTTCTTTTAAGGTACCTCATAACTCGCTCAATAGCTTGCTAGTGCTCGTTACTCAGTTGTCGCACCTCACAAAAAATATGATAATACGACCCTTGCGCAAAAGGTGTGGAAGATTGGTTTGAACAGTGTCGCCACCGAACTTTATTCATTTCAATGAAGGAATAGGAAAATATCGAGAAAACTTTTAAGAGATAAGAACATGTTCATCGCAATCACATTCTGGGCTCGGGAGTCGATTACGTAAGAGGAAGGTACTAGCACCCCCTACGTCCCTTGTACTCAACGAGAATCTCTTAGTTCGATTTATGATGAACGTTATCTAAGCTTGTTTGTTTTCTTCTAAACGATTGATGCGAAAAGGTACGACAAAAAGACTCGATTTCTAGGAAAAATTGGGTGGTCTTAGATTAGGGTGCTCGCCAAAGATTGGGGCCCTTGTGCCTAAGTATGCTCATTCGGACGAGAATGAGGAATCAAAGCGCTCGTAGTCTGGACTACGGGAAAATGTTTGGATATGGAAAAGATAAGGTAGACACGAAATGGCTGAAAAAGAAAAAGTTAGCTCGCCAAGGAATAGGGCCCTTGTGCCTACATATCTTCATTCAGACGAGAATGAAGAATTAGAGCGTTCGTAGTTCATTGTACTACGAGGTTGGTTTGATTTTTAGGAACGAAAGATTGAATGACAAACAATCCAAGGGGCGTGCCTCGAGAGAAGTCACTCAAGAATCCAAGGAACACGAGACTCCAAGAACTCATTTCTTTTGTGAGTGGATTAGAAAGGTTAGAGAAAGGTTGAACGTTTTAAAGTCGAAAGATTGAACGAATAACAACCCAAGGGGTGTGCCTCAAGAGCTATTCATTCGAAGATCCAAGAAATGCTAGATTCCAAGAACCTTCTTCGTAATTGATTGCGAAACTATTTGATAAAGATTAAGTGTTTTAAGGCGAAAGGTTGAACGAATAACAACCCAAGGTGTGCCCCTCAAGAGCCATTCATTCGAAGATCCAAGGAATGTTAGACTCCAAGAACCTTCTTCTTTCGTAAGTTGATTAAGAAAACATTTAAAAAAGATTGAATCAGATTAGGGTTCGTGAAGAGAGGTGAGGATCGATCCTAGTCCCTAGGGGTGCTCCTAGTAACGAAACCACGAAAGGTGCAAGTGTGTGTGTTAGGTTGATGGCGAGGCAAAAGGCACTTGACTTATAAGGGCGTTTTGAAAATGGCTCGACGATGAATCGAGAATTAGTTTGAAAATGGTTTAGTCTATGTTAGTCCCTAGGGGTTCTCCTAGTAAACAAAACCATAATAAAAAAACGAGTAAAGTGCGTACATTGAAAAGGGAGCGAGATACATGTAAAATACATGGGATTGCAAGAAATAAATGGGGTCATTATAAGGTAGCCCAAGAGGAAGTCGTGTGTATGCGACGTGTCCTATACTAATCCACGAACAAAAGTTCAGACAAAAATCTCCTTCGTTTGAGTTTTTGTACAAGATCTAAACTCCACGTCTCAGAATAGTAACCAACAGTCCACCAATTAATCATTTTAGAGTTTCGGTAATTTTAGTGTGTTTTTTAATAATATCAACGAGACATGAATATGAATAATATGAACATATGAATAATATGATAATATGAACAAATGATAATATGGACAAGATAATATAAACAAGATATATTGACGGAAAAGTAAAACAAGAGTATATTGAACAGAAATTAAAGTTAGTGATTAATGATTGATCGTTAATTGTTATTTGATCGGATGAATCGGGTCCACTATA